CCCTCTCTCTCACACACACTCTCTCACACACACACACACACACACACACACACAGTGACTCTTCAGTCTGATCAGTCCCAGTTCTCTGTCATGTCAATGTCGACCCATCTATCACCCAAAGTGTCGTTTCCTCGAGTCTTTCTTCTTCATGAGTGATCTGGAGTCGTATGAAGGCCAATTTGTAACTTTTCCATTAAAGGGATCGTTCACCCAAAAATCATCATTCTGTCATCATTTACTCTTCCTCATGTTGATCTATAGTGTTACAGGTTTTTGAAAAGAGTGTGCATGTAAATATAATATAATGATTCATCAATCATGTGACCAGGAACACTTGGCATATGTAGGGCCCTATGAATCAGTTTATGTATTTATCTATCTATCTATCCATCTATCCATCTATCCATCCATCTATCTGTCTGTCTATCTTTATCATATTTACAGAAGAGTTTTTGTTCATTCTAACCTATAAAATGATAATTTGGAGACACAGAGTTCATGCATGTCAATCACTGTTCGGTTAGCGACACATTTCTCTGGGTCTTTCTGGTGTGTGCAGTTGGAGGCCGCTGTTCCTCTGCCCAGCCCTGTGGACCTGATGGGCAAAATCCTCATCAAGAACAAGAAGAATTCCCACAAAGCTGACGGCAGCACCAAGAAGAAGCTCTTCGAGCAAACGTCCAACCCCTGCAGCGACACGTCCAGCATGTGCGAGCCCTCGTCTCCCAGCGCAGGTGCACACACAAAAACACCTCATTCTGCAGTCATCAGAGAGTCAGCTGAGCCACACTGTGAGCATTTAAGGTTTTTTTTGTTTTTTAAGCACTAAAGCACTAATGCTTTTGACCTGCGGTGCTATAACATCCTCAGGATGCTTCTGATACGAGATCCTTCAGATTCATGTTTAGAGATCATTCTTTTCATCAGCTAATAAAACTGCTGGATTGCGTCTGTCATTGCTGTAGGATCCCCATCAGCTGATGTGTGTGTAAACTGAAGTCAAGAGTACAGATTCTCCTGCTGCTGGTCTCTCGCTGCCCCCTGCTGACCCATAGTTATCATGGACTTGGTGTTTTGCCTGGTCTCTGTGGGTCAGGTCAGACACTAACCAGTCTTGAATAATAACCCGTACATGTGTTTTGTAACAGGGTCGACACATCAGGAGATTCACATCAGCATTCATGCAGACGGGAACGAGGCAGGCGAAAGAAGATTGCAGGGAATGAAGTCGATTGATAAAACGACAGGGTCGCTATCACACAACGCAAGTCTGGCCGATGATAAAGGTTAGTGTTTGAACGTGAAGCTTGTAAAAAGAGCCTCAGACTGGTTAGTGATGTTGGACGGTGTCGTGTGTTGATCAGCAGAAGCGGACGCAGAGAGTGATGCGGAGGAAGATAACGATGAAAGTAAGAAGTCCATGGATGAGGTAAGTGATGTTTACGTGCTGTGTGTCATCTGAGTGCTCTCATGTGTTTCTAGGTAATGTTTTCATGGGTTAAAGTTTTTCTTCCTGCAGGAGGCGCGTGAGTTATGATTGTTTACAACTGTTTATTCCAACGATTGGGACCTGAGATACAAAACTATTTGTCGTTGTCAATTTACTCTCCCTAATGTTTTTCAAACCTGAATTACTTGTTTCTGTGGAACAACAAACCGAAACGCTGTTTCACAGAAGAAATGAAGTCATGAAGGTTTGGTTTTCTGAGAATTATACACATATTTGTCAAGTGATGAGTGCGTCAAGTCAGGTCACCCTTATTTATAATGCTTAATGCACCAGACGTGTGTGTGTGAGTGTGTGAGTGAGTGTGAGAGTGTGTGTGAGTGTGTGTTGAGTGAGAGTGAGTGTGTGTGAGTGAGAGTGTGTGTGAGTGTGTGTGAGTGAGTGAGTGAGTGAGTGAGTGAGTGAATAAGTGATGGAGTGAAATGGAACACTCAACACAGAACTGCGGCTAACACACTGCCAAGCAGGGGTCGACTGCCCTAGATCCCATTACACAGAAACAAAAGGGCATGGTGCCCTGGCTCAGAGTGAACCTGGCCCCAGTCTGTCACACACACACAAATGCAAGCTAGTAAATTTACTCTAAAAATGTACTCTTTTTCCAAGTATCATTGTTTATTTTTTTTACATTTACCAAGGTAATACTATGGTTTTTTGTTTGCAATGTTAATACCTTGGTATTCTTTGACGTACCTATGGTATTGTCATCTGTTGCCATCACCATATCGTGGTACAGTATTGATTAAAAGAAAGTTTGAGTGAGTGAGTGTGTGTGTGAGTGTGTGAGTGAGTGTGTGTGTGAGTGTGTGAGTGAGTGTGTGGGGGGGTAGGACATGAGTAACAATACTCACGTCACAATTTGGTTCTATCCGAGAAATTGAATTCATGATTTGTTGTTCTCACAATGATTTAAATAAATCCAGAATTTAAACAAAAAACTTTTGAAACAGTTCCTTTCCTTTACTCAAGTCAAGTCACCTTTTATTTCTGTAGCGCTTTATACAACACAGATTGTGTCAAAGCAGCTTTACAGAGTCAAACAGGAAAAAGGTGTCGATAATGCAAGTCAGTTTATCAGTTAAAGTCAGTTCATCATTGATTCAGTGAAGTTTTCACTCATAAAACTTTACGTAAATTACAGTTCATTGAATTCCAGTGGTGACCACATCATGAAAAGAGCTATTCATAATTCTGCTTAGTTGAAAATACTAAATTATTTTAGACATATGGATATATATATATATATATATATATTTAATGACAGTGCTTGCTTATCCAGTAAAATATTGTAGCGTTATTAGACATTATACACTGTAAACTGTGATTTTCTCTTGGGTTCATCTCCAGTCGGTACATGCACTGATGTGATGAAACACCTCTGAGAGCGCAGCGTTATATCACAAGAGCAGCACTCCGGCTTTCATTGCTCAGTGTGTCGACATTTTCTGTTGGTCAGGATTGAGGACCTTTTCATTTTGAATGGTTACTCCTTAGTTAGAGTGTGAGTCTGGATCTGTACGCCGCTGGAGTGACACGTGTCTCTGCTGTCTGTAGGGGACGGTAAATGAAGCCTTCGCCACAGAGGAGATGTCCAACTTAGTCAACTACATTCAGCCTGTTAAATTCAACTCCTTCGAGGCCTGCAAAAGTAAGTCAGTCTGTTCTTGAGATGTGTTTGACGCAGCTGCGCTGTAAGATCAGTAACTCTTCTCATTCGTTTCCCACAGAAATCGATCGAAGTTATGAAATGTCATCGTTTGTGGAGACCAAAGCGCTGGAGCTGCTCAAAGAATCGCCGGTGGAGTTCGTCGAGTATCTTTTGTGTTTATTGCACTTTTGCAGGTGGAACATTCTTTCAAATGAAGTGAAATTGTGTAAAAGGTGTAAAAGCTCTTTCCATCCTGTGTCAGAGAAACTTAACTCCTTCACGCAGGTATAATAAACTGCAGCTGAGCAGAATTTATCCCAAAGGAACTCGAGTGGACTCCTCGAACTACATGCCTCAGGTCTTCTGGAACGCCGGATGTCAGCTGGTCGCTCTGAACTTCCAGACCATAGGTACCTTCAGCTCACTCACCTGACAGGTCAAAGCCACTTTAAACTATGTGTTTGTTTAAAGCCTGTAATATGAAGCTTTTCTTCAGATAGGAGTTGCTCATAGAAATGCCCTCTTCTCTTCTGTGCATCTCCGTCCCAGCGCACCGTCCCGTTTATTGACTGGTTTGGTCATGTATTAGCACTAATGTGCTTGGTTTCGGTCTTGTGTGTGTGATTGGCAGATCTGCCCATGCAGCTGAATCTGGGCATCTTTGAGTACAACGGGAAATGCGGCTACAGACTGAAGCCAGAGTTCATGCGACGGACGGACAAACAGTTTGACCCGTTCACTCAGAATACAGTCGACGGGATCGTAGCGCACACGCTGTCTGTGAAGGTGAGCGAATGTCTTCACTAGAGATGTAGAACGATACGTTATATCTGCAAAAGGAGATGAAGTACAGTATGTGTATGAAATATGGATCATGATATCATATGTAGAGGTTTAATCAGTGACAGTTTGCGGCCCATTTTTATTTTGGGTCATCGCTAGAGAAAATGAAAGTTTAATGAGATTTAATTACGTCATTAAACAATATACACCTCGTTAGCACTTTAATAAATGGTGCTTTTGGTTCAGTTTTACAAAGAAAGAAAAATCAAACATCCCATTAACCTTCTTGATTGTTTGAATCAAGCTTATTTTTCTCGATTGGTTATTTACCACATTTCATTTCAAGCTGTTTGAATATATACACTGCCGCTCATAAGTTTGGGATCAGTAAGACTTGTAATGTGTTTAAAGAAGTCTCTTCTGCTCATCAAGGCTGCATTTATTTGATCAGAAATACAGAAAAAAACAGTAATCTTGCAAAATGTTATTACAATATAAAATAATGGTTTGTATTTGAATATGTGTTAAACTGTAATGTATTTCTGTGATGCGCAGCTGTATTTTCAGCATCATTACTCCAGTCTTCAGTGTCACATGATCTTCAGAAATCATTCTAATATGCTGATTTATTATTAGAATTATCAATGTTAGGCTGCCAAATATTTTTTTTGGAAACTGCGATACTTTTTTCAGGATTCTTTGATGAATAAAAAGTTAAAAAGAACAGCATTTATTCAAAATATAAATATTTTCTAACAATATAAATCTTTGCTATCACTTCTTAACAGTTTAACACATCCTTGCTGAATAAAAGTTTTAATTTCTTTCAAAAAAAGAAAGAATAAAAATGTACTGACCCCAAACTTTTGAACGCTAGTGTATATTGTTAGAAAAGATTTCTGTTTTAAATAAATGTTGTTCTTTTTAGCTTTTTATTCATAAAAGAATCCTGAAAAAAGTATCACAGCTTCCCAAAAAATATGAAGCAGCAACAGTTTCCAGCACTGATAAATAATCAGCATATTAGAATGATTTCTGAAGATCATGTGACACTGAAGACTGGAGTAATGATGCTGAAAATTCAGCTGCGCATCACAGAAATACATTACAGTTTAATGGATATTAAAATACAAACCATTATTTTTACATCATAAATACATTACAGTTTAATGGATATTAAAATACAAACCATTATTTTATATTGTAATAACATTTTGCAAGATTATTGTTTTTTCTGTATTTTTGATCAAATAAATGCAGCCTTGATGAGCAGAAGACACTTCTTTAAAAAAACATTGCAAGTCTTACTGATCCCAAACTTTTGAGCGGTAGTGTATATTTATGCATCTATAATGCGTCTGTGCGCCACAACTTTACTCCTGTGCAAATTAAAAAGAGGAGATCAATGAGATTATTCTGATGACCCTTAAAATCTGAGCTGTGACTTTCCTGTTTGCAGACTTACAGCTATGGTGTGTTTTTGTTGTGAGCATCATGTCGATAATGAAACTGTTTCAGAGCAGTGTTTTCTGTGGTGTGGGTCATTCAGACTGACCAGTCTTTATGAAGCTGTGGATGTGAAATCAGCTCGAGAGTGATTGAGTCCTGCACAGCACAAAGTGTCAAAAACATTTGATTCAAGTCAAAATTACATTAACACGAGGCATATTTTTCTGTATTTGTTTCTATGCAGTAGTCAGTGTACTTTACAGATATTTGTAATAGTTGTTGGAGTCTGTATGTTTTTGAAGATCACACCACTAGAGGGCAGTTGCTGCAGTCACTAATATATATATATATATATGCTGTCGAGCTTGAATCAAAAGGCTCATTGAAATAAAACACGTTTGGTTTTTGGCCAGTAAGTATCCAGATAGAGATGTTTCACTGCATCTCTAGCTCCTGTCAACTCCAGCAGATCAGAGAATATCTGGGAGCTCCTGCAGTTCATGCGGTGTTGAATAAGGTTTCTGTGTCTTTCTCAGATCATATCCAGCCAGTTTCTGTCCGATAAGAGAGTCGGTGTTTACGTGGAGGTGGAAATGTTCGGCCTGCCGGTGGACACCAAACGGAAAGCGTTAGATCACACCACTAGAGGGCAGTTGCTGCAGTCACTAATATATATATATATATGCTGTCGAGCTTGAATCAAAAGGCTCATTGAAATCAAACACGTTTGGTTTTTGGCCAGTAAGTATCCAGATAGAGATGTTTCACTGCATCTCTAGCTCCTGTCAAATCCAGCAGATCAGAGAATATCTGGGAGCTCCTGCAGTTCATGCGGTGTTGAATAAGGTTTCTGTGTCTTTCTCAGATCATATCCAGCCAGTTTCTGTCCGATAAGAGAGTCGGTGTTTACGTGGAGGTGGAAATGTTCGGCCTGCCGGTGGACACCAAACGGAAAGCGTTTAAGACCAAGACGTCTCAAGGCAATGCCGTCAATCCGGTGTGGGATGAAGATCCAGTGGTCTTCAAAAGAGTACGTCTGCAGTGACGAGCACTGAGCCATCATCAGGCAGCTTCTCCTTCAGACGCTTTGATTCTGATGAGCCGTGTGTTTCAGGTGGTTCTTCCCACGCTGGCATCATTGAGGATAGCTGTGTACGAAGAGAACGGGAAGTTTATCGGCCATCGCATCATCCCAGTGTGTGCCATCCGACCCGGCAAGTATCCGCTTGATTCTCTGGATGTGGAAGTGCACGAGGACAGATCGCACTCATTAAAGCGTGCGTCTCTCTGCTGCAGGATATCATTACATCAGTCTGAGGAACGAGAAGAACCAGACGCTGACGCTTCCGTCCGTCTTCATCTACACTGAGGTCAAAGACTACGTCCCAGACACCTTTGCAGGTACAAGAGCCAAATAAATCAGAGTCAGAGATAAATCACAGCTTCGTTATGCTTTTACACTTTTCCTCAGTGCTGTACTTTAAGACTGAAAGAGCTTCAGCATGTATTCTGGTGTTTTGATGCGTGCTGTAACGTCTGTTGTGTTTGTGTCAGACGTGATCGAGGCCCTGTCCAATCCCATCCTGTACATCAGTCTGATGGAGCAGAGAGCCAATCAGCTGGCGGCTCTGACACAAGAGGAGGGAGCGCAGGAGACCGACAGAGAAGAGGTGAGTGAGTTTAACTGCTCGAGCAAACGCCACGCTCCACTGCCTCTGGATGTGAGGATGCTGGTCTAAGAAAACCCTATTCAGACGGTAATTGTTTCTCATGTGGAGCTCAGCCTCAGCGATAAAACTCATGGATTCAGATGGCGCTCTATTCACAGTGGAGAAGCGAGTTCTGTGATCCTGGGTTTACAAGAAGAAATCGATTCAAAATTTAATGTTTAAGTCATTTTTGATCACTGCCGAACACCGTATGGAAACTGTTGCACTTCGCTGTAATTTGCATGCATATTTATTACTGGAAAAAAAATTTGCTGTCAAAGATGAATGATCCTCTTGTGTTTATGATTAGTGGGACATCACTAGCAGCTGTTAACTCAAGACATGCGTTGACTAGTACTAGTCCTCTGAGCATTACATTAGTGGATTATCAGAGTGACTGGTAGTTAGGGTCTGATCACTACTTCTGTTTGCCCTTTTGATTTATCTGGTTCAAGTCTTTGTGTTGGTTTGTCAAATGGGCAACTAGTTTCTCTAGCCTGTGTGTCTGTGTGTGTGTGTCTGTGTGTGTGTCTGTGTGTGTGTGTGTGTGTGTTTGTGTGTGTGTGTGTGTGTCTGTGTGTGTGTGTGTGTGT